AGTCTCAGGACATTTCATTTAACAAGGTTAAAATCATGCCAAGTATGTTCTCTGACCACAATGGTATGAAACCAGAAATTAATAAAAGAAGGAAAACTGGAAAATTCACAAATATATAGAAATTAAACACTCTCCTGAACCACCAATGGATCAAAGAAGAAATTAAACAGGAAATTAAAAAGTATCTTGAGACAAAAATGCAAACACAATCTACCAAAACTTGAGATGCAGCAAAAGCAGTTCTTAAACGAAGTTCAGAGCAATAAACACCTTTAGACAAAACGTAAGACTGCAAATAACTCCAAGCATTAAGGAACTAGAAGAAGAACTCAGCCAAAAGTGAACAGGAGGAAAGATATAATAAAGATTAGACCAAAAAGAAATATGATACAGAACAGATAAACAATAGAAAAGAGGAGTCAAAGAGATGGTTCTTTGAAAAGATAAAATTGACATTTTGCTAGACTAACCAAGAAAAAGAGAGGATCCAAATCAACACAATTATAAATGAGAAAGGAAACATTACAACAAATACCACAGAAATACAGAGGATAAGAGGCTCTTATGAACTGTATACCAACAAACTAGACAACCTAGAAGAAATGGAAAATAAGTTTTTGTTTAAGTAAGCTCTATGCTCAACATGGGGCTTGAACTCACTACCTCAAGATCAAGAGTCACATGTTCCACTGAGCCAGCCAGGTACCCCAAAATGGAAAACTTAAAAAAAAATTTTTGTTATTAAAATGTTTTTATTATTTATTTTTGAGAGAAAGCACAAGTGGGAGAGGGGCAGAAAGAGAGGGAGACACAAAATCAGAAGCAGGCTCCAGGCTCAGAGCTGTCAGTACAGAGCCCAACGCAGGGTTTGAACTCGTGAACTGTGAGATCATGACCTGAGCCAAAGTCAGATGCTCAATAGACTGAGCCACCCAGGTGCCCCAGGAATACAACCTACCAACAGAATACAACCTACTAAGTCTAAATCTGGAATAAGCAGAAAATCTAAACAGACCAATTACTAGTAGGAAACTGAATAAGCAATCAAAAATCCCCCAACAAAGAAAACCCAGGACCCAGGATGGCTTCAAGTTGAATTTCACCAAACATTTAAAGAATTAATGCCAATGCTTCTCAAACTTCCAAAAACTCAAAGAGAACATCCCACAATCATTTTACAAGGCTAGCATTTCAATGGTACCAAAGCCAAAAAGAACACTACTAGAAATAACTGCAGGCCAATATCCCTGATGAACACAGACGCAAAAAAATCTCAATAAAATACTGGCAAACCAAATTTGACAACACATTAAATAGACCTTTCATGGGGCGCCTGGGTGGCGCAGTTGGTTAAGCGTCCGACTTCAGCCAGGTCACGATCTCGCGGTCCGTGAGTTCGAGCCCCGCGTCAGGCTCTGGGCGGATGGCTCAGAACCTGGAGCCTGTTTCCGATTCTGTGTCTCCCTCTCTCTCTGCCCCTCCCCCGTTCATGCTCTGTCTCTCTCTGTCCCAAAAATAAATAAACGTTGAAAAAAAAATTTTTTAAAAAAATAAATAGACCTTTCATAACGATCAAGCGGGATTTATCCTTAGGATGCCACAACACTTTAACGTATGCAAATCAATCAATGTGATACACCATATCAACAGAATGATATAAAAAATATCAATACAGAAAAAGCATTTAACAAAATTCAACATCCATTTATGATAAAAACTCAACAAATCAGATACAGAAGGAACATACCAACATGATAAAGGCCATATACGACAAGCCTACAGCTAACATCATATTTAATAGTGAAAGGTTAAAAGCTTTTCCTTGAAGACCAGGAACAAGACAAGGGTGCCCAATCTCACCACTCCTACTCAACATAGTACTGGCAGTGCTAGCCAGAGCAATCAGGCAAGAAAAATAAAAGGCATCAGAACTGGAAAGGAAGTAAAACTGTCTCTATTTGCAGATGACATGATTTTAAATAAAGAAAATCCTAAAGACTCCACCAAAAAATTGCTGGATCTAATCAACAAATTCGGTAAAGTTGCAGGATACAAAATTAACATGCGAAAATCAGCAGCTTTCCTATACACTAACAGATTCGATGCAATCCTTATCAAGATTCCAATGGCACTTTCTACTGAGGCAGAAAAAACACTCCTAAAATTTATATGGAGCCACAAAAGACCCCAAATAGCTAGAGCAATCCTGAGAAAAAACAACAAAGTCAGAGGCATCACACTTCCTGATTTCAAGCTACACTATAATGCTATAGTAATTAAAACAGTATCAAATAGTATCAACTAGTATTTGACAAGGGAGCCAAGAACAGTCAATAAAGAAGAGTCTCTTCAGAAAATGGTGCTGGAAAAATTGGACATTCATACATATAAGAATGAAACTAGACCTCAATATTATACCACTCCCAGAAATTAACTCAAAATGGATTAAAGACTTAAATATAAGAGTGGAAACCATAAAACTCCTAGAAGAAAAGATAGGAAAAAAGCTCCTTGACATGGGTAGATGATGATCTTTTGAATACTACACACAAGCAACAAAATTAGAAATAAACAAATGGGGCTATATATATAGTCCCATTTGTGTGTGTGTGTGTGTGTGTGTGTGTGTGTGTGTGTATACAACCAAAAAGCTTTTTACACAGCAAAGAAACAATCTACAAATTGAAAAAAAACCCACAAATTGGGAAAAAAATATTTGTAAACCATGTATCTGATAAGAGGTTAATATTCAAAAATACAAAAAAAACTCATACAAGAAAAAGAAAATCCAACTAAAAAGTGGGCAACAGACCACATAGACTTTCTTTTAAAGAAAATATACAAATGACCAACAGACACATGAACAGGTGTTCAACATCACTAATAATTAGGGGAATGGAAATTAAAACCACAGTGAGGCATTTTAATGCTATTAAAATGGCTACCATCAAAAAGACAAGAAATAACAAATGCTGACATGTAGAGAACAGGGAACCCTTGTGCACTACTGGTGAGACTATAAACTGATACAGCCACTAGAGAAAATACTGAGGTTCCTCAAAAAAAGTAAAAAATAGAATTACCATGTAATCTAGCAATCCCACTTCTGGGAGTACATCCAAAGTAAAACAAACAAACAAAAAACTATATGGAAGAGCTGTCTGCATCTCCATGGAAACAACCTAAGTTTCTATCAACAGAGAAATAAAAATTGTGGATGGAATGAAATAATATTAACGGAATACTATTCAGCAGTAATAAGGATGAAATCTGCCATTTGAAACATCGATGAACCTTGACAGCATTATGCTAAGTGAAGTATGACAGGTAAACAAAGGCAAATTCTATGTGATCTCACTTATATGTGAAACCAAACGAATAAAATCTCAAAGGCAAAGAGATCAGTCTTGTGGTTATCACAGGCAGGAGTCAGGCAGAGGAAATTGGATGGAGGTGGTGAAAAGGTACAAACTTCCAGTTTCAAGATAAGTAAGTATTGGGATGTGATATACTACAGTTAACACTGCTGTATGGTATATATGAAAGGTATATGATATATATTAAGAGTAAATCTAAGAGTTCTCACCACAAGGAAAAATAATTTGTTTCTATTTTTTTGTATCTATATGAGATGGTGGTATTATCTCTTGTGGTTATTTCATAATATATGTAAGTCAAATCATTATACTGTACACCTTCAACTCATGCTTTATGTCAGTTACATCTCAATAAGACTGGAAAATAAAACCGGCTGATGCATATAGACCACAAAAAAGTAGGTATACTTGGAGATAAGCTTGCACCAGACTTTTCACAAGAAAACTAGTTTTGTGTCATAAGACATTTAATGTTTGAAAAGTTTCTCCTTACTGGCAAAACCACCCATGCACACCCCTCCCCCCCCGCCCAAAAAAAAAAGAACTGAAACAAAGGCATGTTGAGTTTCCCATGTTCTAAATTACCGTGGGGAGGGGCACCTGGGTGGTTCAGTTGGGTAAGCGTCCAACTCTTGATTTCAGCTCAGGTCATGATCTCAGTGTCAGGCTCTGCGTTGACAGTGCAAAGCCTGCTTGGGGTTCTCTCTCTCTCTCTCTCTCTCTCTCTCTCTCACCTTCTCCTGCGTGCTCTCTCTCAAAAACAAAAAAATAAGCTTTTAAATAAACAAGTAAATTACCATGGGGAGCCTTAGTTTTACATCTTCTGGGGCCATGTTTTGGGGCTGGCACGTAAGAAAGACGTAAGCAGTAAGAGGACTATGTAAATGGATGAGAAATAAATAGAAAGGATAAAAATTAAAACAGAAAAAAACCCCTCATCATCTGCACAGAGTACTTGCCACTCTGGGTTTGCCATCACACCTTTTTTGAGAGCACTGAACCTGATTTTTATAATCCACTGCAATTTCAATTTATGATATGCAGACTGTATGGATCAACCCTAAAGACTCCCACACCATATAACAAGCAGAGGGAAGGAAACAGGTAGTCCGCCACTGAAGGCTGGAACAACCACGAAGACTTCCTATAAATTACCATAACTGTTACGAACCCATGGATTAGATAACGGCTCTCATGAGCTCGGCCAGTGACAGGGAGAGGAGATAGAGGGAGCCTCCCCCCGAAAAACATCACGGTCAGATCCGATGAGGAGGAGCGGGACAGGGTAGGTTGGCCAGAAGACTCGATCCACCTTCGATGGAGATGGCATGAGCCCATGACTTGCAAAATCCAAGAAGCTAAATACTGACTTATGCCGGCTCCGCAATGACAGTGCGGGGCCTGCTTGCGATTCTCTGTCCTTCTCCCTCTGCCCCTCCCCCACTCTTACACATGCATGCGTGTTCTCTTTCAAAATAAACTTTAAAAAAAGCAAATAATACTGACTTATGCTCATAAAAGAAAACATTAAAAATCACATGCAGTGTATCTTTATTGTCACATTTGCTAACAAAGGGGACACAGTGTGTTCCAATTGTGAAATCCGTGTGTTCAGCACCACAGCACAGATGACAGCGTCCGACAAGGTCCCAAACAGGCATCCTGTGGGAGTGAAAGGCCGGAGCTGCCGTCTGCCACTGCCAAGAACAGAAAGAATACAAACTGAATCCACGAACATCTTCGAGTTCCTTCTACAGTGATTTTATTATAAATATGTCCTTTTGGAACAAACAAAATTGCATTCAAGACTATCTGCAAACTTGTTCTAAAGGAAGAAAAATGGAACCAGGAACCACTTAGAAAGAGAGATAAGTAGCAAAGACACTTGCATGCCATGCTAAGCGCCTTTCCCTGGAAGTAACAGAAGGTTAACAGGGAATATCACATTAGCCCATTCAATTAAAATACGCTTGGAGTTTGGTAATTTGCTCTTGTTCTGTAAACTGAACTGCTCCTCTCCTCAGTCCTAAGAAATAGAATGGGAAGACAGTCTTCAGAGCCCAGCATCAACAAGAAAGACCTTGACATGGTACTGAACTCTTTGCTCACAAATAAAACTGTTGGCTATTTGCTAGGAGCAATGTCCGAGTAGTCCTTCAGCACTCCAGCCAGATGTTCATTGTGGGTCTTAAACCGTCGCTTTTTCTGTGAAGCAGGTTTTTTCCTTCTCTGAATAGGGGCCTACAAGAAAAGTAAAAACAGATACAGATATTCAGAGCGGCAGAATGGTGAGGATTTACTAATGACACTCAAACCAGCAGCAAAGAAACCTTTTTCCTGCTCAGTGGCCCAGCCTCCCATACCAATCCCCAGCACAACGGAGCACGTGTTATGGTGCCGTGCACACCCCCATTGAGACTACCTTACCACAACTATTCTCCACACTAAGTGGATTAAAAAAGAGACAGTAAAGCTCTTTGTTTTTCATCTCTATCATTAGGTTTAAGTATATCCAATAAAAAAAGGATCTGAAATATGGCAAAATTGGGGAGTGGACGGGCACACAAAGAATTGTTAAATAGTATTCTCCATTCTTTTCTGTACATTTGAAATTTAAAATCACACGATTAAAAAAACCCCACAAAGCAATGATAGGAAAAAATACCTCATAAAGTGCTGCAACCACACTAATTCACGGAGATCACTGGGCAGTAAATCCTGCCTTTTAAGGAGTCTTAAAAACTCACTGCATAAAACATACACACACACAATCACAAAGAAGGCGAGCTACAAAGACTGACGGTACACCTGGGAAAGGGGAGGAGCAGAGCAGCTACAGTCTAGGGTGTTGGTGAATTTTTCCCCCGACTGGGTTTGTCCTTGGACTACAGACAACTGGTTAGCTGGTACAAGGCAATTAGATCACAAGTCATCTTTCAATTACAAATCCCTCCTCTGATCAAGCTTTGAGACTAAGAGATAGTATCTGGTTCCTAAGGAATCTGAAAGTCAGCAAGGACAATTCAATGTGATCAGGGCTAAGGCAGAGCCAGGTGCCAAGACCACAGGGCTCATGGAGCAAGGGGAGGGGAGCACATAAGGTCTTAAAGGCCCAGATGATGAAGCAAGCTCCTTTTAGAAACTGGGAGGGCAACACGTGGGCACTAGAAAACATTCAGTATGACTTGACTTACGAGCAGTCACTGCTAGCACAAGGGCTGGAGGCGTAATGAGGAAAGCTCTCACATGGCTGGGTAGCAGCACCAGGGGGCAGATGTGGGGGCACCAGAGGGCAGAGAGCACCTGTGGCCCTCAATACACCGGACATAATCGGGCTTGCATCTAAGATCACTGATTAGGACGCTGAGAAAAAACTGGAAGGGAGAACTGATTACCAGTTCTTCGGAGAGAACAGAAAGCAGGCTCACAGTTCAAAGAACAGAGGATTATGTTTTCAGGTTTTGGGGTTTTTTTCCCAGGAGACTACTTACCACTTTCTTTGGTCCAGATTCCTGCATGGAAGAAATACCCTGTCGCTTCAGATATTCTTCAATTTTCTCCTCATCCATTGAATCTACGGTGACACTCCTCCAAAGTTTCTGAAACTCTGCCAACAAGATAGTAGTTATTTTACAGCAGATATTTACAAGCTATAGCATCTGTGATAGAAAGCCAGGCCTAGATAGGATCTCCTCTGGTCTAAATTAGCACATCTAAGATTTCATTATAAAAACAAAGGAAGTGAGGGGGCCTGGGTGGCTCAGTCCCGGTTAAGGACTTAATCTCAGGGTCCTGAGTTTGAGCCCCCAAGTCGGGCTCCACGCTGGGTGTGGAGCCTACTTAAAACAACAACAAAGGAAGACAAAAACACTCAAGTGCTGGACAGTGAGTAGCAGACTGGGAACACAGACTGGCCAGAATAGTAGTGTTCTATTCTTAGTCTAGTAAATGAAGGGCCATGTCATTGAGAATTCCCTGCTTTCCTGAGGAAGAGCAGTTGACACTTAGTCCAAAAATGAGTTCTCTCCAGTGAAATAATTCAAAATTCCTGATCATTCTCTGAGCTCCGTATACTCCATTTCCTTTCCCTCTCAGTAAAAACAAACAAGAAGGGAGATAGGGAACCAAAGTTTTATATGGGGATAAGGAGTTATAAAAGTTTATTAACAGAAGAAATTTTTGAAACTAAATACCTAGAGATGGGTGACTAAGAGGTCATAAAGACTTAACAGAGTTTGGGGCAGTTATTTTATAGAATGGCCCTCAATTGGGGGTTGTCTGATCTTTTCTTCACGATTAAATTGAGGTAGTGCATTTTTGGCAAGAATATCACAGAAATGATGCTGTGCCCTTCTCAGTGCAAAGCGTCCATGATGTCAGTGTCTATTACTGAGGCTGAAACTGATCGCTGGTTAAGCTGGTATTGTCAGAGTTCTCCACCATGAAGCTATTATTTTTCCCTTTGTAATTAATAAGGACCTTATGGGGAAATCTACTGAGACTAAGCAAATACTCTGTTTCTCATCATAGTTTTTGCTAACTTTAGCATCCACAGACAGCTCCTGCCTACAATGATTACTTGTGGGTTTGCCTAATGGCAAATTATTTCCATCATTCCTTCCAGATGTGTAAATTAGGATTCTACTATAAGGAAGGACTATTTTTCCTCCATTTGTCCAGTTGTTTATTTGATGTAGTATGGACTCATGGATACTTATTTCATGGATTACAATTGATTACTATCATTATTTTGTTGTTCAAACATGCTGGCTTTGGTCATTGAGATCCCCTTCAAATTGTTCCTGTATCTTTTTTACTTCACTTTTTATTCTTTGGTAATTTTGTTTGTTTTGTTGAGCACTTATTTTCAGGTACCAAAAGATGTTCCAAGCTCATCTTGTATTTCCCCAAACTTGAAATCAACCAATTCATCAAGGGGTCCTGACTGCCTTTATTGGAGAATGCTGTTTAGAAACCAAAATCTGGGGGCGGGCCTAGGTGGCTCAGTTGGTTAGGTATCTGACTCTTGATTTTGGTTCAGGTCATGCTCTCACGGTCCATGGGATCAAGCCCCATATCACGCTCTGTACTCAAAGTGCAGAGCCTGCTTGGGATTCTCTGTCTCTTCCTCTCTCTCTGCCACTCCCCCACTCACGTGCACATATGCACTCTCTCTCAAAATAAACATTTTTTTTAAATGCTTAATAAAAAAAAAACAACAAAATCTGGGCACTGTTTTCTTTTTCAGTCAGGATTTTCTTCTCTTTTTTCCCTCAATAATAGCAAATGATTAGGGGATTCTGAATTTAAAGGCAGATGATGGGTTTCAGCAGAGGACCTCCAAGTATCATGAAAGTCAGGCATGCTCTAACTATAAAGGTAAATAAAACAGGAACAGATTTAGAAATCTTGTAACAAGGAAAAAAACAGGCTAGAGTTTATAAACTCAGATTGGAGCTTCTGAACTGAAGAAATCCCTGTCCCACTCGAACTAAGAATGAAAACTGTGTAACAGAAAGTACGCCAGGGAAGGAAAGGAAATAAGCAAACTCGGTAGAGGTTTTACCAAATAATGCATTCACATCTGGGCTATACCCAGACCTTCCCTGTGAAATGCAAACTCAGCAGAATTGTACAGCACACAGCCTGGGAGCCAGACAGCCTGAATGTGAATCCAGTCATTCCATTTACTACGTAACACGGGGCAAGTCACTTAACCTCTCTGCCTCAGTTTCCTGATCTGCAAACAGGGATGATAATAATACCTGTCTCACAGAGTTGTGCATATTAAATGAGCTAATGTATGTATTGCCTGCAAAGAAAAAAGCACTTATCTATACCTGTTACAGTTATCATCATCCAACATCTATCATCTCTTATTTCTAGGTGCTAACACCACTAAATGAAAGTGGTATAAAATACCTAAGAAAAGGACGGGCTAACAGATATGGGATGATATCATTTACATAAAATAGAAAAAACTAAAATTCTAAAAATTTATTTAAAGACAGAAAGTAGGGGCGCCTGGGTGGCGCAGTCGGTTAAGCGTCCGACTTCAGCCAGGTCACGATCTCGCGGTCCGTGAGTTCGAGCCCCGCGTCGGGCTCTGGGCTGATGGCTCAGAGCCTGGAGCCTGTTTCCGATTCTGTGTCTCCCTCTCTCTCTGCCCCTCCCCCGTTCATGCTCTGTCTCTCTCTGTCCCAAAAATAAATAAACGTTGAAAAAAAAAAATTTTTTTAAGACAGAAAGTACACACATATGAAATGAATCATAAAGGTCTGGAAAAACACACACCAAGGTATATCCCCAGGCAGGAACAAATAGTTTGCTTGGTGGATTTCCACTTTTGTGCTATACTATTGTTGAAAAAAAATTTTAATATGCTGAGGTACTTACATATTACTAGTAAATTTTCTTAAATACGTCACAACCTAAGAATAAGGAGGATTATGCTTACTATAATTAAAACACATTGCTTTTTCTTACATCCAAATTAGACCTCGGGCTCTAAGAGTACTTGAGTTAAGGTGTGCCGTTGCCATTAAAAAATGGAGCAGAGGGGTACCTGAGTAACTCGGTTGAGTGTCCGACTTCGGCTCAGGTCACGATCTCGTGGTCTGTGAGTTCAAGCCCCACATCAGGCTCTGTGCTGACAGCCTAGAGCCTGGATCCTGCTTCAGATTCTGTGTCTCCTCCTCTCTCTCTCTGCCCCTCCCCTGCTCGCACTCTGTCTCCCTCTCTCTCTCAAAAATAAATACACATTAAAAAAAATAAAAATTAAAAAAAATTTTAAAAGGAACAGATTCTCATATAGCAATGTACTACATCTTCCTGCATTTTCCTTGTATATTAAGATGCTTCCTTTTTCCTCACAAGTATTATTATCCATTTTGCACCTCTAAATACAAGGACATTTCTCAATTCACCTCACCCTCTAAAGTACTAATCCTAAATTTTTGACATTATTAAATGATTTCTCTTGTGTGTGACAGAAAAATGCTTCCCCTCAAAATGTCTACATCTCAAACCCCAGAACCTGTGAATGTATTACCTTATATAGCAAAAGGGACTTTGAAGATAGGATTAAAAATCTGGACATGGGGAGATTACCCAGTATTATCTTGGTGGGCCCAATGTAATCAAAGGATCCGTATCAGGGAAAGAGAGAAGTAGGAGAGTCACTGGAGATGTGACAGTAGGAGACACCAGAAGGACTAAGGGCCGTGAGCCAAGAAATCCAGGCTCCTCTACAAGTTGGAAAAGGGGATGAAACAAATTCTCCCTGAGAATCTCCAGAAGGAAGGCAGCCTTTGCTCACCCAGTTTAGACATCAAACTTCCAGAACAGAAAGTAAATGAATAACTTTGTGTTGTTTTAAGCCACCAAATTCATGGTAATTTGTCACAGCAGCAATAGAAAACTAATATACATGGCTTTAGATTCTTCTTATTTAAAAAGTATGATTTAAAGGGCGCATGGGTGGCTCAGTCAGTCAAAGAGTCCAACTCTTGATCTCGGCTCTGGTCATGATTTCAGGGTTCGTAAGATGGAGCCCCGAATCGGATGCTGCACTGACAGCGCACAGCCTGCTTGGGATCCTCTTTCTTTCTCTCTGCCCTTCCTCCTGCTCTCACACATGTGCATGCGTGCACACTATCTCTCTCAAAATAAGCATTTTTTAAAGTATAATTTAAGCAGATGAGGTTATACAAACAATTAATATTTCCTTCTCAGCACTCCAACAAATACTTGTTGAGAACTGTCACTAACATGGTGTTACATGCTGGACATCTGTAAAGAATACACACGGTTTGTGTGGCAGTGCGACCGGGCAGAAAAGGCAGACTGTGGTTGGGAAGGATGAAAAAAACTTGGCAGTATTTCATGTTCTTAGTGATCCTACACAAATACAACCCTGAACAACGGCACTTTTTACTCAGGGTAAAGTGACACCAGCGCAAACAGCAAAGAAAAGAAGCCTTGAGGTAACTCTGAAAACTGCTTTGCGATGGGAGAAACACCACCCTCAAAGGGAAACATACTTTTGAGTAACTACTTTTTAATCTTCCTTTTATTAAGGTATAATTTATATAGAACCAAATTTACACGTTTTGGTGTACAGTTCCTGAAGTTTTAGCAAACATACAAGTCATGTGAACACCATCACAGAAACAATATAAGAACAATTCCATGAGTGCAAAAAACATCCCTGTGCTCCAAAGTCAACCCCTCTACCCACCCTAAGCCCCTGGCAACCACGATTATCTGTTCCTATAGTTTTATTTCCCAAGAATATCATAAATGTGTCATATAACTACAATAAGACAATATGCAGCCTTTTGAATTCTGACTTCCTTCCCTAAGCATGACACTGAGATTTATCCACACTACTGGGCATGTCAATACCTTTGTTCCTTTTTGTTGCTGAGCTGTATTCCACTGCAAGCATGTACCACACTTGGAGGCAATTAAGGGGCAGTTGAAGGCCATCTGAGTTATTTCCAGGTTTGGGCACTTAAGAATAGAGTTGATATTTATAAATGCATATGGATTTTGAGTGAATGTGGGTAAAAATCTAAGAGTAGGATGGCTGAGTCCCACCATAAT